TGTGTGTGTGTGTGTGTGTGTGTGTGTGTGTGTGTGTGTGTGTGTGTGTGAGGTAAGAATTGTATTCTAGGACGCAATGCAGTGCTCTGTGGCAGGAGGAGCAGGGTGCTGATGGGATTGGACTGTTTGCAATGAGGGCATGCGCACACTAGGACTTTTTCACTTAAGCCTCCACTACCTAACTCGGTGTTGGGAAAAACGGGAATATGCATCACACCGCAATTTATCAGAGGTCCCGAGGAGGCTCGGCCTGAAAAAAAAAAAGAAAGATTGGGACCGTAGGGCCCCACGGAGAGGGAAAAGAAAAGAAAAAAAAAACTGAGAATTTCAAACCCCGCGACGTCGGGGAAGGCACTCGCGTTGGGACCGTTGGTTTGCTTTTGGTGCTCTGCCAGAGAGGCAGGGCGAATTCCTCGTGGGGCAAGTGCGTAGGCCTCACTGACCTCGTACTCACACAAGCACTGAACTTTTAAGGAGGCAGAGCAAGGCGGAGGTACATTCCTGTTCATTTCTTCTCCGATCTTCAACTTATATTTTGTCTGTTCTCATAATGATGCTCATTCGTATGGTGTCTGCTCTTATCACTGTATCAGCATCGCTAACACCGGTTCGAGGCCGTGCGTGCACGGCGGGGCCTGATGCCCTAAAATACACGTTGTTCAGTAACTACCAGTGGGGGGATGTTCATTCGTATGTATCACTAGTAATACACAAGAGGAGGGAGGAAGGAAATGGGAGGTGGAGGGAGTTCTGGCAGGTTTCTACGGGGCTCGTTCGACACTCCTTGGGGCGTCCTCCTCGGGGCTGAAGGAAGTTTCCTTGGGGGTTTTCAAGGAAATTCCCGCCATCATTCCACCTGTCCTCGGGGACGTCGCTGGAGGACATTTCCTTCGAACGATGTCAGACAAGAAAGAAGAAAAGAAAAGAAAAATCAAATGTGTTTGAGGCCTTCAGCCAATAGGGTGCCGCCACAATCCAGATTTCGGGTGTAACGTCTCTCTACCCATGTGCCCGCTCCTCTCCGTGAAACGCGGATTCCTTTTGCCCAAGGGACCTCGTGAGGGCAAAAGGAAGAAATGGCTGGGTAATCCTCGGAGCCCAAGGAATTTCCTTCAAGAGTGTTTTCACTTTTTTTTTCCCCGACTGCATCCCCGAGGATAGGTGGAACGAACAATTCCTCGGGGACTTTACGCGCCCGCGGAGTGTCGAACGAGCCCCTAAATAGTGACCGCTGGGGCAGACCACTCTAGAATGGGCCATGAGGCCAGTCAGTGTGTGGGTCTGGGCAGGTCCGCGGCTGCAATTCTTCTTCAAGGTCTGCCCTTGGGCTGGCCCGGAGTTGTACGCTCAAATTGAGCCCAGCTGCGGCTGGGCCAGGCAGTGCGGATTTCTAAACAGCAGTTATGGCTGGCTGCGGCTGCGAAATATTATGGAAGTTCAATATGGGTCGGGTGTGGCTGTAGGAGAAGTAGGAGTTTGCGAGCTTGGCACTGAAGGGTCCTGTATCGGATCGCGATCACAGCATAAGGGATTTTCTTTTTGTGTTTGTTCTTCACCACTTCATCGGACGGACAGATGCCCTCACTGAGGGCACAGTCTCACTACCGCCTCATAGAATATATCTGGCCAGTATGTGAGGAACGTGAAGCAGGAGACTATCAAGGCGTACTTACACTACCGTCTTCACCCGAATAGAACGCCCGGTCATTCACACTGCATGTGGGCTGAATGCTGCCCCAAATACAGCTATAATGACCAGGCGTTCTATTCGGGTGAAGACCGTAGCACTTTTCAAAATGCATCGGACTGCTATCACATTGTCAATCCGAAGAATAGACAATTAGTCATTAGCATTCATTCATTCCAGGTGGACATAGACCAACGACTAAAGAAGAGAAGAATCAACCAAGTAGGACCCGAGAGAGAGAGAGAGAGCTGGTTTTCCGCAAAATCTATCGAGGTAGAACGTGTGATCTTCATTGCAAGAGGTAG